GATCATTTCTTTCTATTTTTTAGTAGAGATGGGGTCTCGCTCTTGCTCAGGCTGGTCTCGAACTCCTGACCTTGAGCGATCCGCGCGCCTCGGCCTCCCAGAGTGCTAGGATTAGAGGTGTGAGCCACCGCGCCCGGCCCTATTTATGGTTCTAAAAGAAATTTTTTTGTTCCACTCTGTTCACAGGCTTATCCACTTTATTTTACCATGTAGTAGATTTATGAAGTCTAATGGACTGTGATAAGACGAACAATTGCACTTCTGTATCTTATTAATAGTAAATCTCATTTGACACTTGGTATTAACAATTATTTATAGAAGATGCAAACGAAAATGCTAAGGAATCAAGATATCTTAAGTCCATATTACTTGCAATCTTTAATTCAAGTTTGATGTGAAAATTGATGATATACTATGTCATTTTATATAATAAAATGAAATCATGGTCTTATAAAATTTTCAATTTTCTGTTTCAAGCTAAGCAGGGCATATAAAGCCAATACAACTCAGTTATAACTTTCACTGCTACACTGAGAAGAAACAAAATGAGCCACATTATCACAGAGTAGCCATAGAGTGAGTTGAGCTTTTCAAGGAAGTTAAATCTCCTTAATAATAATAATGCCAAAGTGAGCCTAGGATAGAAAACGCTTTGCAAAGTACAATAAATACAATAGATTATGATTCCTTACTCCTATTCTGTGAGTCCAGCAGCTAAGAAGAAATCTACTATTAGATTAGTAGATTCTAGGCCTTATCTCACCCCATCAATGAAAGGAGGAAGATGAAGACTGTTGTAGTCAACTTTCTAGTTTTTAATCTTTTAAAAAGTTGTAATTGTAGAATCAGCAAAATTTTGTGGCTTTCCCTCAAGTATTGAATATAATGAAGTACATTTCTGCAGGCATATCTAAACAGTTCCTGTTTAACCTGTGTGAAGATTTTGAGAACCATGCCATTGACTTTACTATTATTCACAGCCTTAACTATAGTACTTTCTTAAAAAGTTTGAATCAACTGCCTTCTATATATGTTCTAGTTTTCTACATATGTTCTAGTTTAGGTCACTCTGCTGTATGTTCCCATAACAATCTACATTCTCCCTCTTCTGTTAAACTCATCATGCTTGAAATAACAGACTACCTTCCCATTGATTATAAACTACAAGGGCAGGAGCCATGTCTGTTTTGATCACCACTATATCCCTACCCCCTAGCACACACTGTCAAATATATACTAACAAAGAGTCAGACAGAAAGATAGAATTTGACAAACAGCTGTTATAGCCTCTGGACTCTTTCCTTATACTGTAAATAAAATTAAGTAATTTTCACTTTTCTACTACTGTGACGGCAGTTCTGGATCTATAATTTTCTAATATTGTATAGTATAATTCTGAGATTTAAACAAAAGAGGATGGCTAAAATTCTGTATCAGTTAAATTATTTTTATCAAGATCCATTTTACTCTATGTTCTTTAAAACATAAAGAACTAATATCTTTAATTCGATGAAAAACAGCACTTAGTTTGAGCACTTTTTAGAACACATTAACCAAGATCATACTCTGGACCCTTTGCGGCTTTATATTAACTTTGCAAAACGAATGCGTTTGCGTATTTGAAAAGGTTATTTAACCTTGAATCTGATCATCAAGTGTATGTAGAAACATATAAAAGAAACAGAAAATTTTCTTACCCAGGTCAGCAAATCTTCCCCAATTTGATCAATAACAGAGGTCTCATTCCTCTTTCGAACAGCCTTCATTTGCTCATTCAACCCAACTAAAGAAAAAAAATTAAGAACGCAATCATTTTAGACTGAATTACTGGTAGTACTAAGTAGCTAAAACTTTTCTGAAAGGATTTTCAGCATAGTGCAGCTGTGCTAATCTCCTTAAATATAAATCTGGACACGATCCTTATATATCTAGCTACTATAAACTCTATCTGAAAAACAGGTGCTAAAACATAAAACAACATTTTTGGAAACTAGCACATTACATACAGGTTAGTTGCATCAAATTAACCTCAAGACTGCACCTATAACTAAGCACAAAAAGAACTTAAATAGTGCAGGTAATTCTGCTTATAGTTCCTTTCAAAATGTGCATGTTCACAGGCAAGTGATACCTAAGATAACCCACAAAGTAGTAAAAGGCATCGATGTGGTTGGCAGGTGTTTGTAGGTGGTGATAACATCCTTGACAAAGAAAGACTGAAAATTAAGGGTCATAGAGTAACAGTGACCTACAAAAGATAGGAACATCCTATTAACACTATTGTCTACAAAAGTCCAAGATGACTACAGGGGAAAGCCAACCAGGTAGAATTTTTATAGACTTACTCAAGTACTCCAAGTAACAAAACAATGAAACAATTCCTGAAAATTATCCCACTATGGGATTAAATACTGTATATTACTATTTACAAAATACATTTATAC